CTCATGGACAACAGCGCTTAACTCTGTAAAGTGCTGCTTGGGGCTGGAATTTTAAAGAATAAGAATTAAACTGTGTCTAGCTGCAAATCTGACTGGGACTCTGCAGGTTCCTCCATCCCTGTTCAGTGCCGGGCCATGAAGACAGGTTGGGGGGTCTTTGGCAAATAGCAAAGGCTATCTATTGCTCTGGGGGCATTTCCATGGTATCTAGGCACTGACCGATTTTGTACTGATGGGCCATGAATTCCACAGTCTGCTATGGCAGAAATCCATTAATAATGCAAGGGCTTACTCTGCAATTATACAAACAGCGTGTCTTTCCCCTCTTTTCCCCCCCCCCCTTCAGTATTCTCATAGCATTTATCCTAGAAGCTTTCTTTGTGGAGTACTCCCTGGAAAAGAGTGAAGTAGAAACTGCCATTGAGAAGAAAATTCAAGAGCTGGGAGTAGGAATCCAAGAGTAAGTAAACTACAGGGGAAACGTGGTACTTTGTGGGTGGGTCTCTCAACACATCCATTACTGAAGGGAAGTGTAATCGGATTGTCCTTCGTGATGTGCAGCTGAGAAATTCAAGAGTTGAAGCATCTGATCTAGGTTTCCAGAGTCTCCTGGGTGAGTTCAGTTCCATTTCATTGTGGTGATCAGATGCCTTGGACAAGAAACAGGTGACTCTCTTCTGCATAGGCTCTTACCTACACTCCACTTTCTCTCACATTCCCTCCTGCGCGTGCGCACACATAGCTTGCCTGCCTTTGGCAGAGAGGGGTGTTCAGGGAGCTACTTTAGTGAAATCAATAAAACCACCTCGGGCTGCTCTAGTCACTGTATTCAGAGACCGTCCGATTTCCCTCATTAGACAGGCTGAGTGGCTGCAGTGGGCATCTGGACTCTGATTGAAAGGTGTGGTGTTAATTCCTTTAAACCCTAGCCTAGAACGTGGCTTGGGCAGGGGAGTGTGAGCTCAGGCAACTGACTTAGCCCCTAATGGGCCAACAGCTAAAATGAGACCCTCTCTGGACAGACAGCTCTGCTCATGCCCAGTCGCAGGGTGGGAGGCAGACAGGCACCTGCTTCTTGCTGTAAGAGGCCGGCATTTCACTGACCCCGTTGGAAGACTGTCAATAGCAGCAGCTGGTTGTATGTTTAGAATGGGGAAAGGTTGCTTTCTCCTTCTCCCTTCTCGCCTGACGGAGGTATGGGGGTTCTGCTCCTGCATCGCAGGGTCTGCTCCATTGATTCTGAGCCATGCTCTGCTTTGCATGGAGAGGGGCCTTTGGGGGAGGGACTGCTGGGGCTCCAAGCCCCAATAGCAAGAGCCTGGGAGAGCCAGTCCAGTCCATGAACTTGTGGAGAGCACTGGAGTGCATTTTGAAGTGGCTTCATAGGGAGATATATATACACAGATATAGATATATATAAATTTTTTTTTTAAAGGGAAGAACTGCGTGATGGTAAACTAATAGACAACATGGAAACCAGTGAGAATGACCTCGGAGGGGAAGAAATAACCAAGAAAAAGTCTAAAGGGCTGATGTTTAAAATAGCTTCTAAAAGTAAGTCCATTCCCGAAGGCTCTTCTCTGGGGAACGAATCCACTGCTGAATTCTCTGCTTGTCGGTCAGGTCTCTTGTGATTACAAATATTCCAGGGCGGTGAACTGCAGCTGGAAGACCCCTGGGGCTGACAAATAGAGATTTACTGAATTGCTGTGAATTGGCATTAATCAACCCACAGCAATGAGTCAGTGAGTGCACCCTCGCAGGCTTGTGTGTGTGTGTGTGTGTGTGTGTGTGTGCCTCTACCCAACTGAGCCCCTCTCCAATAGCCTACTCGTGCACAGTTGCCATTACAGGATGGCGTGTTAACTTGACCATTTGGGGGTGGGGGGAAGCTTAGTGGGACTCTAGAAGAAGCCACTTCTGGTGAGATGAGCTGTTCAAAACCTTAATTCTCCCGATCTCATCAAACACAGATGTCCAGGGCACTTCCGGTCCCAAGGCAGGGAGGTGAGCAGCCCTGCATTGGGGTAGCAGGGGAAGCTGATATAGGTGTAGCTGTCTCTGCAGATAAAACCCACCTAGATCCCCTTTAAATGGCAGGCTGGGGCCAAGGAGTCTCTTTAGGAATATTTCCAACCCTCACATATCTTCTCGTTCATGAAGTATGATGGGCGCTGGCAGTGCTTAATGTTTGCCAGGGCTCTTGGCTTGGCAGTTCATAGCCCCGGCACCTCTGTGCTTGCTGCATCCGTTATGAAAGTTAAAAAATTGCTTGAGCCCCCAGCACCTCTTTCATTGGAGTACGCCCACATGTTTGTGATCAAATATGGCACTATCAGGCCCAACAGCCAATCAGAATGCAGTTTGGGGCTTTTGGCATCCCCACTCAGATTCTAATGGTGTTTCTGCTGTTTTTATTGTAGCACTTTCTTTGTCAAGCTCCTGGGCTTTACAGCATGAGCTCGGTGCCTGCAGTAGCTACTTACACAAGGAACAGTCTTGGTGGTTCAGCTTCTCCAGATGTTAGGAAGCCTCTTTGTTGCTGTTTTCTCCTTGTATCCACTTCACTTTTATCCTGGCTGAGGCTCTTTGGTAACTCTTTGCAACTCTTACTGCTTGGTTTAATGCTCATCCTTCCCTCCCAGAAACTCTCTCCCTGTATCTTGGCTGTTTCCTATTGAATCCAGTTGAAGCTCACTATAAGCCTGGATTCACTGTTTAACACACAAACTGATTGAAAGCCTGAGTCTAGGGGCCTCATATGGAGCTCCCTGCTTCTTCAAGTGCTCTATCAAAACTGCTTCATTTAAAAAAAATCCCTTGAACAGGCAGCAGTTAATGAAAACTGTTTTGCTCTTTCAAGGTGGATTTGTTCAGGATGTTCAAATAGTTATTGGACAAAGTGCTAGAAAATGTGTTGTAGGGACCAATCCTACAGAGGGAGGTTCTCACATGTATATGTTTTTATATTGGTAAATAACACATGCTGATTGAAAGAGCTGCCTTTGGTTGCTGGGGAATGGGGTGTAAGCCAGCAAGGTAGACACCTCGGTGACTTGTCACCCAGTGAGCAACGTATCACAAAATGACTTGACTTGACCACTCAGCCTTTGAGCATAAAGTAAATCAAGGGAATGGCTAACTAGCCTAGGCCAGTATAGAAACCAATGTATTTTTTCTTTTCTCAGGGTACAGGACAGTTGATGCTTTGCTTCAGCGTATGTTTGAGGCAGAGATACTACCAGAAGATGATGGGCCATCAGTGGACGAAATCTTAAACCTCTCCCCTGCTGATCTTTACCCAAAGAATCCCACCTTTGACAGTGCTGCATAGTGTGGAGAACAGAAGGGAATAGAAGTGGAAACACTAGCTGTCTCTATTAATTCTTAAGAGATCTCTGCTCTGACTCCAATTCATACAACTTTGGCACTGTCATGTACAAGATCCTTAGAGTTTTAGAGCAAGTCTGCACAATGATGCTCTTCTGCACATTGGACGGGTTATATTTAAAGTGGCAGCAAACTGGTAGCACCCTGTGTCAGATTGGTCAGTTTTACCGGGAGTAAAAGTCCACATATAAATCCTGGAAAGGCAAGTATTTCCTAAAGGGAAAGCTCATGGAGTGTTAAGAGTGTGCATCTTACTTAGATAGCTCAGTAAGAGATCATGCTACCTAAAAATATTGTAGCATTACATATATTGTTTAATAGGCTGACCTTGTTAAGGAATATTTAGCTACTTTATAACTGGAAATTTTCTAGTACAGTGACTTTAGATGCATTACCAGTCAAGACTATGGATAAATGTGTAAGCTAAAATAAAAATGATTGGCACAAAGCTGCTACTTAATGTGCTATTTCACTAGCCCTTGCCATGACATGCTTTCAAAGGGCTAATAAACCATGGCAGCTAAGTGGGGGGTGGGCAGAGGTTGGCCAGTACCTTAACCTTTCTCAGCTGCTAATATTCCACAGCTGTGGGCAAATCCAAATAGCCTGAAACACTGTTCTTCAGAGGGGTGCATGCAGATGAGCCTCTCACTCATGCTCTAGAGTCTCCACTTTCATCAAAAAAGGCTCTAGCTGTTCTGGTTGCAAAGAAATAGTCATGTCATGGTCTCCAGACTTTACTGATGCAGAGATGTCTGCCTGATTGAGGCTCTTTGCACAAACCATCGTTCGTTAAAGCATGTGAGGAAGTATCCTGCTGTAAAGAGACACCCAATCTACTCTGAGTAAGCAAGCACTCATTTGGGATAAGCCTGTATCAATACAGTGTGGGTGAGAAGGAAGGTATAGTTGGTTTCACTTTCATACAGGGGCCACACAGCTTTCCAAGACTTGCCCAAAGGGTGGGAGGAAACAGGAACAGGTTCTTCACCAGTAGTTCGTGGAGGAAGTTGCCTGTGTACATTGATGCTTGTGGGATGGGGGAGGTGCTCACCAAGAGCCAACTTTGGGTTCTGTCTGGCAATGCACAATCTCCCTCTTCTACCCCAAAACGTTTGAAGCTGAGGTTACAAAAGGGACATCTGGCCCCCGAATGCCTCTGTTCCTTCTGCTCACTCACAAAGGTCTGAGCCCAGAACAGTGGCTGAGGGCAAGGAGGGAGGACTGTGAGATTGCGCAGGGCTGTGCTTTCATGCTGCAGTTGCAAATGAAGAATCCTTACACCTTGGGGGTGGGGGGGAGGAGGAGGTAGTGCTCATAAGGGCAGTATCAGGAGCTCTGTTCAGAGTCTGGAGGCTTAAAACCTGGGAGCCAGAAGCTGGATTGCCTTTCACAGCAGTCTGGTGAGAACCAAGAGGGACGCTCAACTGGATCTGTGACTACCCTATCACTAGAAAGCCTGCTGTAATGATTCACATTCAGGTTTGAGTTACACCACCTTCAAGAGAAAACCCAGTTCTAAGCCCCTAACTTCTATTCAGCACAAACACAGTGTTTGCAGAGGGAGGTGTTTTACTACTGAATTGTAGTTTAAACACAAAGATGCTGAAGCTTCACAACAGAGGTAACTTCCAACAATATCAGTGGGAATGAATGACTCTCTCATCTATACAAACAATGAACATTTTTAGTTACTTATAAAGTACAAAGGGAAATGAAACCAAGCAGGATTCTTGTTTTGACAAAGAACATTCATATGGGGTACAGGGGAAGAGACTGGGTCTATCCGACAGCAAAAAACTAACAAACCTCCCCTAAATTCAAGTCCCGAAGAAGCTGCATTAAAGTGTATTAAGCATGATCGTATGGAAAGAAAAGCATATTTTTCTGACTCAGACTCATTTGGCAATGATTTTTTTCCCCTCTGATAAATTACTTTATTTACAAACATTTGACAAATAGAAATAGCCCTAAATTCTCATCCCAGCTTTTCCCAACCATTTAACTTTTCCTGTGTGAATAGCCTCATCTCCTTTCAGACACATGTAGACACAGTATTTTGACTGAAGCCGTTGATACCCCTACTATTCTTGTCCTTGGGAAGGTGTTTCCTTTCTTTGATTTCAGTCAGCTAGAAAGCAGAACAGAACTCCTCTTGGTTTCCTGACTGGTAGATTTTGAAGGATCAGGTATTTGTGCAGGGAATCCTGAACGTAACTTTCCTTTCACTTTTTTTGTTTTTGTGGTAAGTCCTTGCACAATATTGTTGACCTGTCCCTGAACAAGGGCAGAGAAGATCATCTTCTGAGAAGCAGTCATACAGAAGAGTTTCTGGAAGACTTTAGATGAATAATCTTGGTCCTGCTAACAAACGGATAAGCAGCACAAAGACATCCTGCTGCTACTATAAATCCTAAACTGCACCAAGCACAAAATATAGACCAGCTGTATCCATGTTCCACATCATCAGGAAGACTATATATGAATGTTGGTAGGCGGTTTAGATCATATGATACACTTGCTGCATAAGTGCACAGAGAAATAGTGCAAAATATTCCTGAAAACAAAACATATTCTCAGGGTTAGTAGAGTTATACAGCCTGGGATAAATAAAAGAGCAAACACATCCCTGTTAAACAATAGTTTATATAATCAAAAGACTAGGCAAAAGCTGTTTTCTTACTTGGATAGAACATGTGATATTAATGCTGGCATTTACAATGTTTCAGGGGCTTATCTGACTATACAAGTCTTTGAGCGCTGGCTCTGTATTTTAATTATGAACTTAATGTAACTTCTTGTAGTTCCTACTTGGAAAAAAGCTCTCGGTTTATACAAGCGGTTTAAGGTTGGCTGCAGTTGTTACCCCAGGAGAATTCTTTTAGAGCAGGGGTGTTAAGTGCCCTGCATGTGGATTCGTGAGGCCTGCTTAACATATTCAAATTGGAGACTCCTCTTCTTGCACCCCTGAAGACCCATGGCTGACAGCAGCCTCTTCACACCTCACACGATCCATGGTGGGCTAGCTGAGGCAATTGTTTTGTATGCACTTGACAAAATCTAGTCTGTGCGTGTAATTTACTCAACCATGCATCCCCAGTCAGCCTTCCCCAGCATAGCTCTGATGTGGAGGAGTGAGCTCCTCTCCTCTCAGCCACTGCACATCTGTCTGCAGGACCTCGTCTCCCTGTCCAGAGTGTCCCTCCTGGGTCGGCAGCAATCTATTGGGCTAGATGTTTCATTATGCAGTGAAATTAGCTATACACATACAGCCACAATGAATTTTTCCTTAGGCTTGCACTTTACAAGTTTATGGAATAAAATCTATGGTGCTTAAACTTAACGAGTTTATGGAATAAAATCTACATGCTCAGTATGTGGTTTTCAGAGGTTTATAACTTGGTCAAATCAATATACATTTCCTCCAGACCAGGGAAAATAATTGCTTCTCATTAAGGGCTTTTCCCACAATGAATTTAACCTTTCCTACTGTTTGCCATTTTTGCTATTTGCAAAAAAAAATTGAAAGCCTTTTTTTTTTAATAATAGGAACCAAATAACACCTGTCCACCTTCACTCTGAAAAAACAGCTGAACACTTTTCCTCAAACTTCCCCAAAAAGTTCATTTTTAGGAAAAGACCAATGATGGAAAGCGGAAACCTGAGGGGTGAAAGTTTCAATAAGTTATAAATGACTTGGACAAAAATAAAATTGTTACACTGACTTAACTATACAACTGCTGCTTTTGTTGTAATTTAGACTTCTCCTTTGTTGTTTTAAGGACAGAGTTAAGAAGGAATGGGGGGGGGAGGGGAACCTATTCCCTAGTCTTCCCCACTAACATGAAGTTAGGGATAGATTTTGCCTTTAGACCCAGTCTTGTGCAAAAGAAGGGGTGTAAACTGCACCCCTCCAGGAGTAGCCCTGGCAGACGCTGTAACTCAAACACAATTTAGTCTCAGCCTCCCTCTTTGCTTTGGAAAGAAATCATTTCCCAGCAAATTATGACACCCTCCCATGCTGTCTCAGGTTTGCTGGCTGGTAAATTGAAGGCAAGGGACCAACGCTCTGCCCACTCTTCCCCATCCACATGCTCAAGCAGGGAAGTAAGCAATGGCACAATGCCCACGTGCCCCTGCACGCCTGGTCCTAGAGTTTGCATAGTCTGTGCAAGCGCTGTAACGGAGTGCTCTTACCCCTTCTTTCTCCCAGGCACAGGTATGCAGTGGGAAGGACAATCTTTTTATTCCCTTTTTTGGAAGAAGAAATTAAATGGTCCCTTTCTGTTTTCATACAGTACTCAGAAAAATCTTGCCTGCTTTTTTGACGTCTGCCCGAATAGCTGCAGTGGAAAGTCAGTTCTAACTGGAAAGATCAAAGGAAGGTGTTCTCTGCTGGTGGATAACAAGCACAGTCTACCAAAGAGAAACCTAATCAAGGGCTTCAATTGTAATTAGCACACAAAGATGGCACAATACCTGTCATAAGGAATAGAAGGCCTGCCACGTGCTGTGTGAGGCTTTCCTCCCAAAAGAAACTGACTGCCGCTACGATGCATCCACAGAGAAGAACAGCAGCTGCCATGCCCAGAAAACCAGCCGTGATTCTTCTTAAATCTGCTTCCATATCAGAAGTAGAGCAGAGATTAAACACCACCCTTTTGCTTAGAGCAAAAAAGAGAGTGGCAAGGAACTATATACAAACCCTGTTGGCAAATGCAAGGTAATGCATATTGGAAGAATCTTTCGAGCCACTCATAGGCAAAGCTTGGTTCTAAATTAATTGTAACCACTCAGGAAGAAGATGTGGGCTCCAGAGTGGATAGCTGACTAAACAACCCTCCTCAGTGCATAGCAATGGTTAAAAGAGCAAACAAAATGTTTAGATGTAGATGCAATGGAACAGAAAGTAATACTGAAAGTGTTCTAATGTCACTACCTGCACCAATGATGTAACCTGACCTGGAATACCAGTTCTGGTCACCCTATCTTAGAGAACACAGCAGATAATACAAGTGGTTCAGAGACAGACAACAAAAAGGATTAGGGGCATGAAAAAAAATTAACTTTAGAGTGAGAATGAAAAGATTGGGACTGTTTAGACAGGAGAGGAATAAGAGGGGACTTGACAGAGGTATAGAATATAGAGAGCAGTACAGAAAAATTAAACCAGGGGTTGATTCCTATTTACCCATTCTCATAACACAGAACGAGGAGATATCTAATGAAATTGTGAGGCAACAAATTTAAAATAGATAACAGCAAATACATTTTTACATATTGCGCAGTTAGCCTGTAGAACTCATTGCCACAAGACATAATTTAGGCCAAGAGTTTACCAGGAATCAAAAAAAGACTGACCAATTACATGAATAACAAGAACATCCAGAGCTACATCAGATGGGATTTAAAATAAAAAAAAAGATTTAGAAGGGATATAAACAGCCATGCTTCAGGGCATAAGCCAACTTGTAAAGGATGGGGGCTAGGAAGATATTTACCTGTAGGTAGGTTATTCCATATTTGCTTACTATGGGATTTCTTACCCCTTCCTTTGAAGCATCTGATACTGGCACTGGCCAGAGAGAGGTTACTGGTTAGACAGAGCCCTGGTCTGATTCAGCATGGCAAACCCTATCTACAGACCAGCGCGTTGTCTTGCTTTTTCATGTGAAACACTGACAGAATTATGGAGAAACTTGTGCGTCCCCAGATGAGAGCTGACAATTCGTGTACTTACGAAGCAGATGCCACTCATCTTGCTGGATGGTCTTGGTTAAGTTGAATGGAATATTTCGTAAGCGCATTGGCTGGGAGAAGTGGTATTTGATAGCTGTGCATCTCTGAACAATACCTTCAGGAAAGGAAGAAAGAGACTTCATTAACCTGCCGGCTAAAAACCAAGCAGGTTCCCCCAGAGAACACTGTGTTAAACACTGACAGCTAGGCTGTAAATTGTCTTCTAATACAATTAGTCCACACTTCCTTCTCTCCATTTGCTCTCCCCGTGCCCACAGACTACCTCGCAGCTTCTACCCTGCACTTCCAGTTCTGAACACCCAACGCCCCCTCTCCCTACAAATGGCAGAAGCTTGACGCTAGTGAGAGATGCAAGCTCCTCAGGCTGGGAGAGTTCACACGCGCATAGATGTGCACACACCCACCCGCTGCTCTGCGTACACTCTGGGGCCTTTTCTAAGCAGCCCTCTCCCCCCACGAGATGCTGGAGGGGATCCAGAACCACAAGGTCCCAGGAACTTGGGGTCAAATTTTCAAAAGCACCTAAGTGATTTAAGAGTCTAAGTCAATTTTTCAAAAGAGATGTAGGCAATTAGGAGCCCTAATCTCATTGAAAGTCAATGGGATACAGACGGGACATTGACACCTAGCAACCAATGAGTCTTGGATAAGGACTTCCCCATCTCTCCTTAGAGAACAACAATCCCCCAGCTTGAGATCAAAGGACTGGAGAGGTACCAGGTGGGGGGATAAGTGTTGGCTGCTGGAAGAAGTCGGGACTCACCTGGAGTCTGACAAAGGAGGTCAGACACAGAGTGAGACCTTGAATCAAGGGGTTCCCTACAGCTTGGCTGGGCTCTGGGCTAACCAGAGCTTTAACCTTCAGTTCTCTATAATACCCTAAGGACTTCCTATGCTGTGTTCCAGATGACTAATAAACCCGACTGTTTGGACAGCGCTGGGTGAGCGTCACTGCAAATAATGGGCGAGGTGCATGAATCCCTGCTGAGTGGACAAGTCTCCATCAGGGATCTGTCTCAGCTGGACTCACTGAACAGAGCTCACGGTATGAAGTAGAGGTTCTGCAGGCCCAGAGGTCCAGTCTAAGGAGGCAGTAAAGCCACGTGGCTTACCTTGGAGGAAAAGGGAGACCCCTAAGGGGTCTGACACACTGAAGGGGTTCCTCCTAGAGACTGATCCAAAGCTGGGGACACAGCACCGATGCTGTGAGTCTGTGATGGGAGGGAAAACACATGACGCACCCCTGTCACAGTATGTAGCAGCTGCTTCTCCTGTGCGTGCTCCCACAGCACATGCAGAGGCACCCTGTTTGGCTGTGCTCTCAGCAGAACAAATGCCTACAAGATCCGCCACTGGCGGTGTTCCCTGGCACTCCCCAAAAGGGGCTGTTGCTTTAACAGCCAGTACCTGGCCCCGTACGGATAACTCCATGTTTGCTGTGCAATAAGGCAGTCTGGCTCCATTGCAAGGAAGCTGAAGTGCCCAGTGTTCTGCCCTGACATGCAGCTGCATGGCTGTTCTTAGGGTCTTATCGGGCAAGGTGCTGAGCGCTCTCAGCTCTCACTGATTTCAGTTGGGGCTCGGAGTCATCAGCCCTTGGCAGGATCCAGCCCTTATCCGCTACGCTCAGTGACATTGGGACAGGTTGCATAGCATCGCTGAAAGGCTTTGTGACAGAGAAACCATGAGCAATTCTGCGGTATTTTGAGGCAACCCCCCAGCCAGACCCGGCTTCTTGCTCAGCTGCACCAACACATTCCGTAAGCAGCACCTGCAGTGACTCAGCCCTAGACATGCTGCAGCAGCCTGTCCCTGGGCAGGGCCTGGGTCAGATGCGTCTGTCTTGTCTATTTAGATTGTCAGCTCTTTGGAGCAGGGAGTGTTTCTTCTTTGAGGGGCTCTGTGCATTTCCCACTTGTGGTTCTTGTGGGCTAATGCGCCCTGGCTTCAAGTGCAAATGCCAAGAGGAGAGGGAGTCAATGCCACAGGCGTGAATGCACAGAGGGAACTCCCGAAGAACAAGAATTACCAGTAAGTAACCTTTCTTTACTCTGTGTGTGTGTGTGCATGCAGTGTCCAGCACAAAGGAGTCCTGCTCTTGGTCGGGGCCTCAAGATACTATTGCAATATAAATAATAATGAAACTAAACTGGTTACACCAGGAGCTGAAAGTGAATCACCCAGGAAGGGGATGGAGTAAGAGCCTCCCCTCCCCCAGCCTTGCCCAAGGGCATCATGGACAGGTCAGAGGACAGCCAGGCTACTGGGAGAGGTGCTGAATTGTAGGAAGCATGGGAGCTGGAGGGAGATGGAGTCAAGGAAGGAGATGGCTGAACCCAATATGTGAACTTTGTCTCATATCCTCAAAGGTGTTTAGGGGCCCAACTCTCATCGGTTTCACTGAGAATCAGGTGCCTAAATACCTTGGAGGATCTGGAACCTTCCTTGTGAACCCTTTCTACAGCATCTAGCCAGTGAGGGGATGTGACCTCATTTTGGAGCACTGGAATTTACTATTCTCCACCCACCACAATGGTTCCCTTTCACTGTGTTTTTAGTTAAGATACTTTTGGGTCTCAGACTGTTATGGGGGCAAATTCACTGTGGTCCATTTTCAAAAGGAAACACTCTTCTGACCTCTAGTCAGATGCACAAGAGGAGCAAACTTGGGACACTCAGTAAAGTGACATCCAAGAGTTACTGGCTGTGGGAGATCAGCTGGCCACATGGGATGGCAGGAACTGGGGACGAAATGTTACTGACGTCCTTTTAGTTTAATTTACTATTAAAACAGATTAAACCCTTTTAACTAAAAGGAGACAGCATATGGAAAATAATGGGATGCAAGGTCGTGATCTGAATTTAACTATGCTGCAAAGGTGAAGGTGGGTTTTTTTGAAGTGGTAAGCAGCTGTAAATGCATTTCTTACTAAGGGTAGGGCAGTGCTTTAAGGTGGCTGTGTAGTTGCGGCACCAGCGCTGGGAGAGAGGGGAATATCTCCCAGCGCTGGTGCACTGTCCACACTGGCGCTTTACAGTGCTGAAACTTACATCGCTCAGGGGTGTGTTTTTTCACACCCCTGAGCGAGACAGTTTCAGCACTGTAAAGTGGCAGTGTAGACAAGGCCTATCGCAATTAATATGAGTCTCAGGAAAGAGGCATATGCCTGACAGGTGATGTTTATGGAAAGGAAAAAGTTACCCGTCTGCAGACCCAATGATTACATGCTTAGGTTAGAGTTCAACTCTATGGGAATATCTATAAAAGGTCCTCTCGTGCTAGTCAAGAGTTAACGGGATGGACACACCAGTGTAAAACTGGAGAGTGAGAGGAAATGCAGGGCCTTTGTGATTTCTCTCAGTGTACCTATTAATATTGAAAGATACTCTCTGGGACATTTTGAGATGGATCCTCAGCTGGTGTAAATCTTCATATTTGCACTGAAGTCAATGGAGGGATGCCAATTTACACCAGCTGAGCTGGCCCTTGGACTTTAATAAGAAGCCAAGAATGTTGGCTGCAGAGAACAAAATGTCATTTTGGTTATAAACAGAGGCATGGGGAATGGGTTATGAGCAGGGCTGGCCCTGAAAATACAACATCCATCGCAGGGAAAGTATTTGCATGTGCTCTAGGGTGTAGCTGACTCCAAATCCAAAATGTTATCCCTAAAGGCACAAGCAATGAAATGTCACAATGAGTCTGCTGAGTAGAAGCATAAGAACACTTAAAGCAATATCTATTTTTGCATTTCTCTACTAATTTGCAAGTGTATTTCTTGGCTTAAGATGGTATGAACTGCAGCACTTAAATGTGCATCTTCATTGCCATAATGAAAGCTATTTACCTTATTCTCAAGCCAATCTGGTAAATGAAATTTTGTGTCTTCCAAGGCACACCTCTGAAATGTTTCATTAAGTTACAGATATTTTGTGCAACATTCACTGCACCTAATGTTAACAATATAACTACCCTCTTCCTCGACACAAGTGGCTAAAGAAGATATAGTGATGCTGCCCACCCTTTTGAGCATGAAATAGTGTATTACACATTATTTGTTGCTGTAATTAAAAGGTTTATTATCTACTTATATAATATCAACGTTAAATATTAGGAAAAACAAAACAACTAACCAACCAAATAAAAAACCTGCATTAAGTCAGTGTAGTTTGAAAATATTTAATCTATTGCTGCAACATAAAACAAAAATGTTATCTCTGTTTCCCAATATGTACTAAAGAAGAACATTAGCCCATGTCTATGTGACATAAGGCTTGGCTGTTCTACAAAGGTCTAATTTAACAGATGACAATAAAGGGAGGAAGCAGAAAAGTCACATCTCAGATTGGGGTGACAAATGATGCAAATGTCTGTTGACTATTCCTTTTAATTTCTGAAGGGACAGAGGTGTTATTATCTGGGCTACATTTATCTTTTTCACTAAGGAGGAACAGAGGTTCTACTAGAAGACCAGTGCAGATTTTTACACAAAGAGGAGATGTACAGGAGGGCTTTGAAGGCTGCTTCAGGTACACAGAGAAGTAACAAAAAATGGCCTACTTAATATTAGACAGCATATACTCAGACGTACACAGCAGCATAACTGTGGGAGCAGTAGAAGAGCAGCTAGGGAGTGGCCAGCTACTCCTGCACATAAAGCATTGGCAGCCAATCCCAGAGGGAGGATGGGTGCTGAGGGCCCTGCCGAAAGGGCCAGAGAACACCCCAAGGGCCATAGCTGGATCTCCTCAACGCCAGTGGCTCACAAAACAGGCAGTTCTGCACTCACTCCCTCTTCCATCACCTTGAACACACCAGTGGATCAACTGCACACTTGTCACTCAAGAGATGTCAGCACCAGGTATTTGTACACCTCTCTTATTGATCCTCAGGATTTCAACCTGCCTATGGGCTCCCCTTCTTCTCACCAGCCGGCAACTGCAGATTCAGGATTAGCCATGGAGCAAGGGTAAGTTTCAGTGTGGCCAACCTGACCCTCCTCCCGCATCGTGATATCTCGTAATGCAGCTGCAGGTGCTGCTCTCGCCGTGCCCAACCACTGTGCATCTCATGCTCAGGCCTGAGAGTAACTACTGTGCCCCATGTCTCTGATGGGCAGGTCACAATCGTAGCATGGGATGGGGAGTACCAGCCCTGGAACTCGGTTCCACCTCTGCTCCACTGTCATGTACTGCTGGGCTCCCTTGCTAATGTGCAAGGGCTTTGGAAGAGGGCAGTAGGCAACCTCCATGCAAGAGGTTCTCTCCCAGAAAGAGCCTTGACCTCATTACAGTCCTGCACTTGGCCCACTGCAGAGTCATTCAGTTCAGCAGAATCTCTGTGCCGTCTAATTAATATGTTTATCCCAAATAATTTAACACTCTGTTTAATCTAATATTTTCTGTACATTCCTGGAAGAAAATTAACAGATTTCACTCACATGGGGCAATGTCATGAAGGAATCAGCCTTTTGTTTGCACGAAGAAGCAGATGTGCAGTTTGAACCTTAACACTTCTCAATTTTATTTTGCATTGGAAATAATTTCAGCTCCACGACAGTAAATTGAGGACAGAAGAGCAGGCGGCAACCTGCATTTCCACCAGAGAGTCATCAAACAATACCTTTCTGACTGGAGTTTAAATCCTGCCATTTCTCATTCAGAAGTAGAGTTAGGCCCAGAAGCCTCTAGTTTGTCTCTCTGTATACCCAGTCCTCACCTGTCCTTCAGCGACACTGTTTTGAGAGTTAGCCCAGGTCTACACTAGTGGGGGGGTCGCCCTAAGATACGCAACTTCAGCTACACGAACAGCGTAGCTGAATTCGGCATATCTTAGGTCGACTTACCTGGCCATGAGGACGGCGGCGAGTCAACCGCTGCTGCTCCCCCATCAGCTACGCTTCTGCCTCTTGTGAGTTGGAGTTCCGGAGTCGATGGGGAGCGCGATCGGGGATCGATTTTATCGCGTCTACACTAGACACAATAAATCGACCCCCGATAGGTCGATCACTACCCGCCAGATCGGCGGGTAGTGAAGACCTGCCCGGAGACTACAACCTCCACTATATTCAAGACTAGTGTCTAAGCAGTTACCTACTCCAACTGCTTTGTCTGGTTCCCTTTGGGCATGCCTGCACTTCTTTCTCTGCCCATGGGCATTAGACACTATCAAAAATTACACTCCTCAAAATTCAGTACAGGCTGGTTTAAGAGTCAGAATATTTATTGGCAAACTCACAGAAATACGGGGGCAATAGTAAAAATAAAAGCTGAGCAGAGCTAAACATGTCCACACTAGGTGCTACTGAAGGATAAACACACTGACAGACACTAAGCTGTTCCCTGGCCCTCCCAAAATTTACCCTGATATATTTACTACTTTGGAGTGATTATCACTAAGGGTATGTCTACACTACAGGATTAATCCGAAT